GTACGGCTCCGTACGTTTTCTTGAATCTCCTGAAAACATGTCTTGTAAGAAGCTTTGCCCATTTCAGACACAAACAGAACATATGTCTCCTCCACAAGCTTACTACAATCCAAGCCGTCCGCAAGACGATCGTCAATCAACGGCTCATAATCCTCTGCAGTTTCCTCGTTTATCGTGTCGAGACTCACCGAAAGTTGTGGCCGAGAAGTCCCGATATACTGAGGCGGCACAACAGCCGAGAACGGAGATAGGGTAGCCGTTGGATGGATTTCGATCAACGGCTTGGATTCGGCTGGCCGAGGAAGGAGCCTTCGGTTTGAAGAGATTTGGTTGGCTAATGTGATGTTAGTTTTAATGTTGTTTGTAGTTTCCATATTATTTTTTTTTTCCTTGGGAAGGCCTTAAGGTTTTGTGTAGGTTTTGAGATGTGAGGATTAATATTCGAGTATGTAGATGAGTTTGAGTGTTTCTTTTTTAGTTTCTATGTGAGAGTGTAATATGTGTGTATCACCTTATATAGTTGATGAAATTTTGTGTTATGACAACAATGCCATTTGTTTATCCTCTTTCTTACAATATGCTTGGTAACTAAATAACATGGTTTATAGCTTATTTGCTTAGCTTGTAAGTTTTCTATATTCAAAGTTCGAGTTTACCTCATAAACTTCTTTAGGTAGCTTTTAGAATAAGCTCGTTAAAATTTCTAGTTCAGCTAGCTTATCAACTAATTTTACAAAATATTTTTATAATATAAGCTAGTTTTTCAACTGAAAATTATTGAGTTACCAAATTGGATTGTGTCATGTAACATAACATTAGAGGGTCGGCTTATTGGAATTCAAATGGGCCTTGTTTGCATATGTCAGAAGATAATCAATCAAAGTTTGGTTTGTTCAATTAACCTTTGTCTGTTTGTTTGTTGTGAGGGGTCCCTATGGATTTTCCTTCTGCAGGCCATTTTTGTATTGTTCTACCATAAATACACTTAGGCTATGTTCGGTAAGCGAAATAAGCTAGCTTAAAGTTTATTTGGTCAGCTCATAAGCTCCTTGTATTCAAATAAGTCTCGTTTGATACGACGAGTTTTTTTAAAAAGTTCGAGCTTATCTCATAAACTACTTTAAGTAACTTTTCAAATAAGTTGGTTGAATTTTTTTATTTAAGCTACCTCACTAACTTTAACAAGCACTTTTATCATATAAGTTAGTTTTTCAGATATAAGCCATAAACTATAAGTTCAAAATTTACATATAAGCTATAAGCTAGATTATCAGCTATCAGCTAATTTTACCAAACACAGTCTTAGCAATGACATTCCTCGATTAGTTTTGATCTATATATGACTAGTATTATAAAGTTTGATTTTCCAATTATTGCTTCATTCTCATGGCAGAAAACTGTATTTTCTCGGGCATTTAGTTGGAAAATTATGCAATTTTCAAGTACGTTGAGGTTGTTGTGTGAAATAAATTGCCTACCAACTCTTCAAAATTCCAAAAGCAAAAAAAAAAAAA